GTGTGTGTGTGTGTGTGTGTGTGTGTGTGTGTGTGTGTGTGTGTGTGGTGTAAGGGAGAACCTAGGGCCTCACATTTGGCCAGGTTACTGAGCTATATCCCTAGCCCAAGGGTTCTTTTTTCTGCATGAGTCCTTCTATTAGGTAGATGATATTGTTTTAACAATGTCTTATGAGCTGGGCTTGGTGGTGCACACCTACAATCCCAGCACTTGGCAAGCTGAGGGAAGAGGATCACTGCCAGTTCAAGGGCAGCCTGGACTATATAGTGAGTTCAAGGCTAGCCTGAACTACATAGTGGGACCTGTCTCAAAAACGCAAAAACAAAAAAAACAAAACAATGTCTTATGAAGAGCAGAAGTCCAACTTGTCAGCATTCTTTCTCTTTTGATACTTTTGCTTTTGGTGTTATACCTAAGAAATTTTTGTCTGACCCAAGGTTATAAGAATTTTTCTATGTTTTCTATTAAAATTTTCATTTTTAATTTTTTTTGCATCAACTGGCAAGAGAGGACATGAGAGAGAGTTTCATTGTTTAGATTTTAACCTTTAGATCCAGTTTGAGGGCTAGAGATGTAAATCAACGGTAGAGCACTCGGCCAGCATGAAAGAAGCCCTAGGTTAAATCCCTAGTAACGTGGACACACACACAAAATTGCTAGGCTGGGTTTGGTGATGTATGCCCATAATCCCAGCACTCTGGGAGGCTGAAACAGAAGGATTGCAAATTCAAATCCATTCTGAGCAATAGTGACTTAGACCTTGTCTCCAAAAAAGGTCTAGATCCAGTTTGAGTCATTTAGGGTAGGGTACAAGGTATGGGTTAAAGTTCATTTTTTCCATGCAAATGTTCATTGTCAGCACCATTTATTAAAGACTTGAATGATCTTTCAAAACAAAAATTTGATCATATAACTCTCCTACCCAGAAACTTTCTCTGGTTTCTCTCTCTCTTTTTTTTATTTAGTTTTTTGTGACAGGGTCTATGCAGTCCAGGCTGGCCTTGAACTCATGGCAGTCCTCCTGCCTTAGTCTCCCAAGTGCTGGGATTATAGGCATGTCCCACCACACCTGATTGCATTTTTCTTAAAGAGAAATATCCTTTAACATAATTTACAAAGCTCTGCATGATTGCATCTCCTATCAGTGCCTGTCTCTAAGCATCAAACATACTGAAGTTTATTCAGTTTGCTAAATTTCTTTTTCCTGCCTCCCTGAACAGAATTTAGCTGTTATTCCCTCTGCCTGAAATACTTTTTGTTTCTTCTCTACTATGTGACTTTCAACTACAATTATATTCTCTTAGAAGCTTTCCCTGACTCTTGATCTCATTCTCTGTGTTCAGACTGATTATCCTTCCCTTCTTTTGTGCATATTTCTGTCTCGTCTCCTTCCTTCCTTCCTTCCTTCCTTCCTTCCTTCCTTCCTTCCTTCCTTCCTTCCTTCTTTCTGAGATAGAGTCTTGCTGTGTAGTTCAGGCTGGCCTTGAACTCAGATTAATCCTGCTGCCTCAGCCAAGTGCTGGGATTATAGGCTAGCACTACCATGACTGACCCACATCTTATACTTTCTTATCATGGCACTGATTGTGTAGTATTGAATTGGTTGACTGTTTTCTTTTTTTTTTTTTCCTCCCATTAAGTTTATCAGTACATTTTAGGTATAAAATACAATTACATACATCATTGGGATCTTGTACCATTACATGAGTATCATGGTTCTTTTTTTTTTCCCTCCCCTGCCCTCCCTTCACCCCTTCCACCCTTCCCTATTTGCAAAGACTTTGTGTCCATTTTTTTCTTTTCTCATATTTTTTCTTTTCCCTTCTTTCCTTTCCCCTAC